TCCGGTATTCAAGAGAAAATGATTCGTAAAGAAGATTTACGGTAAAAAAAAGTTAAATGGATAATTTAGGATTAGAACTTGTGCCTTGTGTAAAACTTTCCGCGAACAGAGGTCCGAGAAATGACATATAATAATATATTTTTTAACTATTATCATTATTGCGAAGCAAACAAATTAACATGGGAATCTGGCATGTTCAATAATTAAGCGACAACATGCTCAGTGCACATTCTAACATTGTTAACTGTCTCTGACCCGTTTACATTGGCTTCCCACAAAGTTAGCCAGCAAAGAATTTCAGGCCATGCTCTTAAACTTGTTAGCCAACAACGTTAGCCAAGACTTGCCGAATTTTGGCCTCATTTACATTATCGATAGATTATCGATTAGCTAATATAGTTCAACCCATCTTAAGAATAAAAAGAACAATCGTGTAGAAATATTTTAGATTTATTTACTTTAGCTTCCCGAAAAAAATTGCTATTAGTACTCCCTACAAAAAATTATCGTGATGCCAAAGTATGAAAAAGAAATTATCATTTTGATTACGCCCGTGAAGATGAAAGCCGCGATGAAATTAGGTTGATTATTTCAGAGTACTCGATCAGCTTGTTGCAACGTAGTGAACTATTTGGCCAATTGTCAACGTCGTGATGGCGTGATCGATATACACATCGTCACGTATATACATCAAATGAGATATAAATCAGTTACCCACACGTTTTGCAAGCGTTCAAGTCGCGATAAAGAAACCTTTTGCATTTTTACAGATTCAACTATGAAGATAATTGACTTTATACTGATGGGAAATGTTCAGAAATGTAGAATATTATCTCACGCAGGATTGATTTGTGAGAAAATAAAAGCGAGAGCGAGAGAGAGAGAGAGAGAGAGAGAGAGAGAGAGAGAAAGGAGTTTTGCAAAATATACATACTTAAAAATAAAAAACATTCAAGTGTGCTGTGTGTCATAGTACTTAATGTATTTTATATTTTTTGATTAATTTTTTCGATTCATATAATACATATTTATATAATATGATAATATTATTGTTAAGAACATAACATAGTGACCCTATATGATCAATGATACTGATCAGTAATATTGAATTAGTAATATTGACATCAATATTTTTAGTATTTTTATAATCTTATATGCGATCAGTTATTATTGACAATATATTTTACTTTAATTTTACATTATCTATTGCACCGTAACATACTGTGACATGAATTCTAATAAAGCGAGACTGATGCTCAAGAATGAAAATCCAGATCATTATCAGTATTCTACGTCAATCCATCAATATTAATCACACACAATCAGCAGTATTGTCAGTATTTGTTAATACTGACAGTATTATTGGCCGTGTAGGGTCACCTAAAAGTTTAATGTGTGAAACATATTATATGCAAACTACGATAGCGTATCTGTATATCTATAGTAATGCTTCTGTGTATGTGAGTATAATTGTATATGTGACATAATCCAATACGCTAATCTTGCACGCGACGACGTCGTCGCTGACCTTCAATCAGCTGCGAGACCCTCTTTTTCCCACGACCGACTTCCGTTTATGGTGTACATCCCGCTGAGTACATAAACACCCTCATATAGTGAGGTGTACCATATACGAATTACAAGTCAAAATATTCTACTCTCTTTCTCTCTCTCTCTCTCTCTCTCTTTATGAGAGAAAAAAAATAAGATTTAATTGTTATTTAATTCAAGATATTATTAAACGCATCAGTTAAACTTAAAGGGATTCTAAAGACAATTAGTCACAGTGTAAGTAGGGCAATTCATGTCATTGACACATCTCGATATATACTACTTTACATTAATATCTCACGTACACATAAATTACACGTACATATAAATTTTCGTACCTATAACAATAATGTATTAATTAGTTATTTAAATCCACGTTCTAAGAACTCCACGTTGTTCCTTTTAACCGTGCAAACTACTAGTGGAGTGTGATTTTCTTCTGTGGATTACTATTTCGTAAATAGAGATTGCATCTTTATATGAAGCTTATCACGAAGTGATAGCTTTAGAACACTATATTAGACTAGGAAATGAAGATCTTAATTTTGTAATTTTTTATCATTGTCAGCATAAACTCCATCTTACACACAGACATGTATTAATATGTATACTGCAATCCTGGAAATGGATTCTTGAACTTGTAAAAGAGGAAAAAAGTAATTGTTATACAAAAATATAATGTAGTCGGTAATACAGACTTTACGATCTTCTTAACAGCAGCTACGGAATACAATAACAGTATAACGCAATAATAGAATGTAATAATGATTTCTTATTAATTTTGTCATGTTATTTCAAAAAGAAAATTGTTTGCTCTTAAAATCCAAATCAAGTCTGAAATAAAGATCTTTTTAAATAAACAGCAAACAATATTTTTACGTTTCATTATGAAACTTTCTTCCTGTTTGCAAGTTCTTTAATTGGCGAAATTCGGAGAGAGTACTAGTTCCCGCGCGCGCAAGAGATACTCTCTAAATTTCTTAGACTGAGATTTCATTCTTTTAGAGTGTGATTCACTGCAGAAGAAAGAAAATCTGCCACTCTTATTCAATATTATATTTCCACTCTTTTTCAACAGTGACAGTATTTTCACTCTTGGATTTCGCTCTAAGAAATTTAGAGAACGCGTGTCAACTGACCCGGTGATTTGGAATGCGGATAAAGCGTCGCGACGACGCAAACAGCCTGCCCGCGGCGAGAGAGCTTCGGGGCAAGGAGAAGTATGGGTGTGTCGAGTCAATTGGCGGAATTGGACGGGTTAAGTGCAACGATATGATAATCGAATAAAGTTATCGTTAGCTGAAAACGCCACGAAACGGAAACACGACCTTTCACGCATATACTTTTCGCTGGAGAGCTATTCAGTGGAAATGAACTTACTCTTTGTTGCCTGCTGAAGATGAATATGACGGAAATATTTCACATTTTTTTATTTTTATAATACATTGAGAACTTCTGTGATATTTTTTCTCGAATTCTCTACTGCGATCCATGTACAATAAATGTGACAATAAAATAAATTTGTTAAGAAAAACTTTGGTGTCTCTGCATTTTCCACAATCCATCTTAATTTTAATAATTTTCAGTTAACGACGAAAACTCGCGAGCTTCGCGGATTGTTTTTGATTTTATCTGTTTTAGCCGCGCTAATAGAAACAGTACAGATGCGTAGCCAAACGAATAGAATTTCGTTAGTTCTAGAAAGCTGGCCAGAGAGAGTTATTTTGATCCGGCAACGTATACCGCACTGGGTCAGCGTACCATGACAATTTCCTGAACGCACAAATTGCATTAGTACCTACTACCGGCATCCTGGATTTAGTTGCTAACTTGTTATCTTATTTGCATTTTATTCAATTCATTAAAAATAATAACTGCGCCAAGTTTAAATTTGTAGTGGGTAAATAAAAAAATTAGAAAATAAAATGCAAGACTTAGGACGCTTGCTTGTTCGTATAAAATTCAATCGGAACAACTCATAACTACCGCCAGAAGTGTTGAAATTAATCAGCACGACACATTTCCGCTAAATGACATGCATAAATGGTAGCGATAGTTAAAATTGTTTAAAAAATGTTTACAAGGCAGAATAATAATTTATTCGTATAGAACTCGAGTAAAACATGTCAGAAACTATTGTCAAAAATGCCCAAAGTTGTCGGGTTGACCCGTTTCCGTGAAGCTCGAATATTCTAACCTGTGCAAATTATTAATTGTTGGTATTCTGTCCTGAAACGTCATGTAATAATCAATTTAGCTTAAAAAAAATGGGAACACTTGACAGATGTCGTAATATTCGATGGCATCTGATACTTTAGAGGAAGTTATGCTGGAATGTAAAGTTAGTACGGCATTTCTTTTTGATTCTTTGATATTAAAAATGCAGAACCTTTTGTTATTTTTGAAAATTAATAAAATGCCGTGCTAACTTCACAGACACTAATCAAAAGGCAACGATATGATATACGTGTTTGAAACAATTGATGATTATAGATCGGATAGGGTGCGTTCACGCCAAAATTACAGGTGGCGTAATTTCAGATCAGGTCATCAAAAGCCGAAACCTGCTCTAAAGGTTTCGGCCAAGTCAACAAGTGTTTATACTAAACAAACAAAATTGTTCGTAACTTTTTCTTTTTGATAATGATTTGTATTTCGACCAAATGAATACTTTCTGAGATATGCCACTGCATTTTGGATGAGTTTTTCTAAAAGGGGGAAAGTTTTCCAAGTCCGCGGGCGTCAGGACTTTTAGTATGTCGTATAATACGCCACTTCAAACAATTTTCCGCAGAAAAATCTTTTATGATAATTTTGTCTAAAAAATGTAAAAAAAAATAATTTTCCTGGGCTATTATGCAAAAAAGGAACGAGAAAGAGCCTATCAGAATAAAACTGAGACGCAATATTTTGTAATAAAATCTTCGAAAACATATTTTTTCGTGCAAAATTTATCCTCCTAAATCCATATTATTTAATCTGTCATTATATATAATTTTGCTGTTCTATTTGATATCATTTTTTACCTATTTCCATTTTTAAAATGCAATAATTCTTTATTCTTTGCTCTTTATATATTTTAATTTCATAATTTATATCCAACTCTTAAAGTAAAATCTTTAAATATATCATATCATGTATTCATAAAAAATACCGTGAAAGAACGGTATTTGCTTGATTCTAGCTATTAAGATAAAAGAAAACATATTAGACTATTTATAAACTAAATTATCAAATTAGATTTTGGAATTATATAAGGGCTCCTAAAATAAAAATTTTTGTAAACAAAAATCTGCATTGTAGTGATTTAAAATCAACTAAATGTTATAGACTTATAGATCTTATAGATAGAACAGCAATGGGAAGAGAAAGAAGCAGAATGTATTCGCACAGCATACAGGATGGGTAGGTCGTGTTGAATTTCAAGCAGTTAACGAAATAACACTCACGCCCCTGGCCCTTCGGTCTCCCTTCCGTCCCTGTCGCCACCGGCCGTTCCCCCCGGCATTGTCCCAGACTCAGTGACCTGTGAAGCAGCCGATCGGAACTATTAGATCGGATTTCATTGTCACGCCGTTCCTCAAAACCTGTGCAACCCAACCCTGCGGCAATCAGGTGCGGCACGTACGCATGGCTATCGCGCGCGGAACTAAGTCTCATCCTAATATTAGTCCAGGAAGGAAACATAAATCCAAATCATCCGCACTTGCGTCGTAAACCTTCCCCCCCCCCTCCCTCCCCCCTCCCTCTATACAATCATGAGCTTGTTCGCCGAAATGAAACCTATTAAGAATTCATTATACGATCTGAGAATACAAAATTGTATCGTTAATGTAACTACTTCTTAAATATTAGATTTATGTAAGATGTAAATTTCTGAACAATATATACAAATTTAATTAAAAAGATACGTAAATCCAATAGCGGAAGAAGAATTTTAAAAAATTATCTAAATGACTGACTGACCGTGGGCTCTAATATACAAACGTTAATTTATATATCTTTATGTGTAACTCTGGTGTGAAGTGCTATTTTTTTACTAACGTCGTGTGAACCATGAGTCATTTATGCCAGTAGCATATTTCTCCTAATAAATCATTTGTGAAAAATCGAAAAAAACTTGTTTTATTACTTTTACATCTCTACTTTGTATTCTAAACGTTTTTAAAACTGAAATATTATATTGTACTTTTTTTTATGTAGCAAACATGCAGAGGAAAATGCACAGAAATTTTTTTATGTGTTAAAAAAATCATAATTTTGCAATGAGCGCGTTAAAAGAAAAAAATCTTCCCAGATTCACACTCTTGAGGGATGACAAAAATAAAACTTATGCGTTGCCTTGATTCAATTACGTTATGCCTTGATATTCAAATACGTTATATTCATCTCCAGCGTTAAAACCATCGCAATAGTGTTTTCTATCTACATCTCACGCTTTCTATCTATGTTAAATGAGAAGGATTGTCTTACATTATGTTCAATAGCCATGACATTTTTTCACTTGTGCAGCTTTAGCGTACGTAGGTCTTCTCTAACGTCGCGCGCACGTAACATTTTTCTTCAGAGATGTGAGAAATAATTAAATTATATAGTTACCGGCCATCAC